GTAAAACGTAGAAAAGTTAGTATCTATGCATACATAAAACATATATGTATGTGTGCTACATGTAAATACTCACACACATACATATACAATATAGAGGGTGAATACATCCATATCTATATTATATAGAGAATATGTAATATAGCTGAAACTGCCTCAAGCACCAATTTATTACCATTATTATAAAGTTCGCTCAATACTTAAGTAGGACCACTCAAAGTAAAATGGTTTGGGTTGTGTTTTATTTCCTGTCCAGGAGCATTTGAAGGTAGTTTGAAATATTATGGCTGAATGCTACTATTTCACTTTCAGTACCTCCATTCTTTGCAGAATCATCATGCCCTTTGTGAGCTTCAAAATGTTGCATAAGTGAGCATGAGACTGCTGTTTATGAAGTTGGTGGCAAAATCCATATTGACTTCAACCGGGTTAGTAAAGAGTGCTATGTTTTCAGGGAAAACAGATTTTTCTTTTTTTCCTTTTTTTCTTTTTTTCTTTTTTTTTTTTTTTGAAAGGTTGCTTGAGAAGGAGAAAGAAGAAAGATAAAGACAATAATAAAATGGTTTATTATTTCCAAGAGCAGGTATGGAAACTCTGATAACCCTGGGATGAGCACACAATAAATGTGAGAGACAGAGAGAGATTATTAACTTTGCACTGACAAATCATTCACAGTTTTGTTTGCTATAGTTATTTGGAAACCTGTTTCAAATCTTATGATAGCTAGCAATGTCCAGCCTTGTATCTTCAGAAACTGCTGTGTGTTGCCAATGCAAAAGCCTGTGGAGTAACAAATCAAAGACCATGAGGACATCAGGATTAAGCAAGGTATGCCACCCATCCGTGGAATTGAGAAAAAGTGCCTCTCCATATGGTCATCATCCACTCCTATCAGTGTTTAACAACACCAATGCTTTGATCTCTGCAGCGAGCTGGTGTATCCCTGATGCTGTGCAACCATCCCTCCCATCATATGAACTGGCATCAGAGGGTCATTCAGCCTCTGTTTTATAAGAATGGAATTTCCTTCTGCAGTGAAGAAGCTTCAAGTTATAATTTTAAAGCTATTAGGACTAGACAGAAAGCTTGATCTCATAGACCACCAAGAGTCCAGGTTCTCACTTGATGTAACTATGCTGTATTCCTCACACATATGCAGAATTTATTGTATTTAACAGCTGAGACTGTAAAATATCTTGCCTTAAATTCATGACACCCTGAAATATAGAGTAGTTCATTTGGAATACTATTACAGGCCTCTAGATGGGAGCTGCAGCAATTGGCTTTGTAGATTGAAGGTGGGGAAGAAAGGACTTTTTAAAGCAGGCCTTAAAAGTGTTTCAAGCATAAGTTTTCTCTGTAGTGTGGCGTGAGTCACCTTCATCCCGGTGAATGCAAGGAGAAAGGTTTTGTAGGCACTCCTTGGAGGAGGAAGGGGGAGTGGTGGTGTTACCATTTGTGAACACCTATGCCACCTCCCCACAATAATGTGTGTGGGGACTGTCTCAGACTGCTTGCATATATACTTCTCTTTATGTATATACCCTTTGTTTTTACAATTATTTTTAGTTCATAAGAAAGATGCAACAAAATCACAAACATTTATAAAAGGTAATGTTTGTAAAAGAGTCTGTATTCTTCAGCTGTCATCACATTTGAACTCCATGCCACAGATAATAGTCCCCATTTTAAGACATACCATAGTATTGAGACAAACGAAAAAAAAAATTAAATCTCCCATACTTCAAGGTGGACTGAGCCTATCCTGTGAGCAGGCATGAGACTTGCTGAGCATTATTTCCAGCATCACTCCCAGTTTTCAGCCTCTATATCTTTCATCCTTTTCTGTACATTATCTGCAACTCTCACTTAGCTTGCTTCATGCCAGAGGATCATGCCATTGCTTGTTACCACTTACTGGTTTATGTACCTGCATGTTTCAGAAGTTATGTTTTATGGCAGTGGGTACTCCAAGACTGAATCAAAGTCAGCAGATGTTCAGCAATAGCTCTTATGCAAAATGAGGGGATATCAAATACGTAAGAGGAGAATATTTTGCTACAATATAACAGCACAGTAAATACCAAAAAAAAAAAAAAAAAGGCAGGTGGATGAATTTTCCTTTTCCTCGCTATGGGAAGGTTACACTGCTGTAACTCTCCTGACTCTTAACACAATTGTGCTTCAGTTTTACTAGCGCAGGTGAGATGAGAAGAGGCCCAGTAAAGACCTAAGAAAGGAGAGCCCAAGTACTGGTTTGCTTCCTTGTCTCTCTATAAAGTAATACTTCGGATTGCTTAGATCCGAATGAATTGACAAGGAATCAGTTTGAGGCAAATACAAGGCATGCATGCCTAGAGAAAAGACTTGTGTCACTATGACAAACATACCAGGAATTAGGGCTCTCCCATATCCTCTAGGACACAAAGTGACCCAGCACCTGGAGCCAGCAGGGGTGTGACCCATGGCTTTCTGCCTGCTGCAAGAGCTCACACAGACCAGAAGGATGTCTGAATCCAGATTGCAGCCAAAGTCTCCAGTCTAAGGCTACACTTGAATTTGTGGCTATAAATCAACTTCTGTCCCTTGTATGAATAAGGCTCACATATGCAAAGATGAGCAGTTCCCAGAATAAGCCTCAAGCTGCCCCACAGCTGCCCGTGCTGGAGAACAGTGGTGGGGATACGGAGCAGTAGTGCTGTTCTGCAGCTGTCACACAACTCGACAATGAAGAGCTGTGATCTCCTGTCACACATGCAAACAAAGAATTAACCTTCAAACCTAATTACATTAACACTGCTGTTCGCTACTAAAGCTGTCCCAGGGAAATAAGATTGATTTCTGAATGTGCAAATGATTAAGCATTACATTCATGTTGTTCCTTGTGCATTTTAGGCAACATGATGCCTTTTAAAAAATCAACATAAAAACAGCATTATGCTGGCAATTCCTTAAATAATGGGACTTCCTGGATGACTTGCAGAAGTGTATGGGTCTTCTGTAAAATGCTGACTACTGCAGACTAAGATCCATTGCATAATAAGGTCTTGATGCTTTTAATTACCTCTTTTGCAGATATTTGAAATATAATAATATAAATACTGAAGTAAAAAGCTATTTTTGAGAAGAAAACATTTTATAGTGTTCAAATCTCCACAAATTTTTCATTCCTCTTTTTCCATTAAGTCATCACAATTCTTAAAAACATAGTGGCAAATTCTGAATTGCAATGACAAAAAGTCAAGAAAGAGAAGATGAGTATGGATTTTAGGATATGAATACTAGTATATAAAGGGAGTGTTAATGGTCACTTTAATCAGGTCCTCAGAAATCAAATATTTGTAAGTACTATGATTCTGCTAATTAGTACATAATTTTCAGTACGCAAAATTCATCCTTGGCATAATCCATTTGGTTTCAGGAATCAATTTTGGTCCATCATGGTAAGCAGAGCGAACATATGCTCTTACTGTTTTAAGTAATGGCTAGGTAGACATGCTGCTTTCTATGCGTCCCAATCTACAGAAGTACCAAATCTAGAGTCAATGAATAATTGAGTTAATGATGATGAGGAATATTACATGCAATCGATATTTTACAATACCTCTGAAATGTGTCCACTCGATTTATAGAAACATCACCACTCCTGCATAAGTCCCAGACTGTGTGTAGGGGCGATTTCCTTGGCTCTCTGCAGCTGTTTTTTTTTTTTGGTTTGGTTTGGTTTTGAGTTTTTGTGGTGGTGGTGGTTTTTTCCTTTGAGAGAGAAGGGGATATGTCTTTAATTCTTACTTGGAATAAAAGTTTCATGATAGGAAATTGGTGTGGAACAGTAGAAACTGAGTTACATGTAGGACCTTTTTTCCCCTCCAAGTAATTTTATAGATTGTAAGAAGAATCTTCTACAAAATCCAGTGACAAGGGTAATAGAATTAAGATTTGTTATTACTAAATAAAAATAAAAATATAAAAATGTTATTTCTATATTTTAAAAAAGCTTTTTTTTTCTACCTAACCACTAGAAAATCTATCAGTATTATTTTTCCACTGGAACTTGTTGCTTGGGATACTGTAAGATAGCATTAATATGATGTTGCAGATAACAGAAAAGTTGCACATAAATACAGCAGTAAATGCATTTTGAGTATATATTAAATGAGGCTCTTATTTCCTCATAAGCAACAGGAGTGTAGCACAAGTGTATGTGAAAGAGGAATTTTTGTGTATAGGCTTATTTCAATACAGAGGAATATGAAATCTAATTCAGCAAAATAATTCTTCATGCTCATATGTAATTAAAATGCAGATTTTGCACATTTGTTTATAAAACACAAAGGATTTTCATTCCCACATACTTTTTTTGTAGATAAAGAGGCAAACTAGTAAAACATCTGGATGTGCATTGAGGCACAGGCCCCTGTCCTTTTGACGTCAATGTGAATTTTGCCATGGCTTCACGTACTGGAGGATTAGTGAAGCAGATGCCATAGCCTACATACTTGAAGTGCTATATCTACTCATTTACTTTATTTCCAGATATACCAAGCTAAGTAGAGCCTTCTCAGATATGTCTGTGACTATGGACACACTGGGCCAGGGATCCAAAGCTGCCAAAACACGTTTTGCAGTGGTATATGTCATAAAGAGGTGAAGGTAAATTTTATCAATCAGAGCCTGAAGAAAGAAATCACAGAATAATCACTCATTTTTGGACTGATAACTGTTGGAATATTTAGCCTAAAGGATAATTTTTCAGTAAGTTATTAGCACCAGAAAAAGGGGTTAGGATAAAAGTACCTTCTCATTCATAACTCCAGCCAGTACAAAGCAAAAAAAAATATGAAAAAGAAAACAAGTTGGGGGAGTTGGTTCAAACCGAAAAGATATTTACTTCACAGTAATGTCACTTCTCCTCTCTCGTACATTGCAAAACCTACAGGCTGGGAAAATTCTCCAGCATATAAGAGAGTACAGAAGACATATAAGCAAATCTTACTCTCTGCTAGAAATACTTTTGTGCCATCTGGGAAAGTTGAATTTCTCTTTGAGTGGCCTTACTCTGGTAACAAGAAAAGACAGTTAACATTTATTCATATGTTGTACTGATTAGGAAATATCTCTACAAACACAAGTTACCTAGAAACAGCAAGTCTGAAATAGGAGAAAACACCAAGAGAAAAACAAGCTGTAAATACATTTCAAAAGTGTATTTGTTTTTTTTCCTTTTTCTTTTCTTGACTAGCACCATCTGTACACAATAAAGTATGAACATAAATGTTTGGATAATAAAGATTTGCAAGGCACTTAAACAGTTTTTCTGGATAGGTTTTCTTTTAATGAACCTCTCAGTGGAAGTCCTACAACCACCTTTTCTCCTTCCTCCGCTAATGCAGGGAAAGAAGGGTCTTCTGCCAGCAGTTCTTATTTACAGACATATCCTTAAAGGTTCCTCAAAGTGCTCTTTTAGGCTAAGAGAATCAACAACCTTATATCTCCATTTTTCATGCTTGTCCCATTTTTTCTAATACTAGACCTCTGTATAGTATAGCAAATCTCTCATACACACAGTTGAGACTTGACTCCAACCTTCATCCTCATTCTTTTGTCTTTGGGATGCTACTTGGAAGGGAAAAGGAGGATGGCAGAGATGCACATTGAAATTCTCTTGAGGTTCATACTTTATCGGCGTCTAGAGGTGATGTCAAAACAGGTGATCATCATAAGATGGGCCTTGCAGAAGTTGACACGGTTTTCCAAACGCTCAGTCACACATTCCAGGGCCTCCAGGTATTCCAGAGAATCCAGCTCAAATACCTGCTCCAGATCAACTGTGGGAGAAAAAACCACACAGAAAAGTAAAAAAAAAAACAACAGTGATTGTTGTTGGGATAGTCAGAACTAATTCAAGTCTTCAGACCCATCAATATACAACATTATTACCTCTGGCTTGCCACTGTCGTTAAAAGTTGCCTTTTCTGCTTAATGGCTATTAAAATGGCACAGTGGCTTGCCCATTGTGAAAAATACTTCTAAGCTGCACGGGATGCTTTCTTGAGCAATATGCTCTGCCATCCTCACCAGAGCTGCAGATGGCTTTTGCCACACTCCATCACCCTTAAGCAAATATTGAGTGCTAAGCATGTACTGACTTTCTCACACATTCTCCTGACCAGAAGCAGCTTTAAATAGCTCCTCTGTCCTGGGAGAACAACTCCTTTGTTGAATTCATAACTCGGAACTAGAAACCAATCCCTAGCCTCTTTGTTCCTCCCACCTTTCTCTGTTCCATATGACTCTCACTAGAACACTCAAGCATGGCAAGGGAAGGCATACACATCAAAAACTCCAACTTAGGTGCCCATATGCTGCCAGAGACCAGCCAACAGCAGCTTCCATGGAAGCCAAGTGTGAGATATATTGTCTGGGCCAGCACTTCTCATCTTATCTAGTCCCTGAGGTCTTTGCAATCCTTGAGGCTTTCTGCATTTACCACCCTGGAATCAGAAGCAAAGGCATCACACTCTAAGTGAACAGCACTGTATAGTAAATTCTTTGCTCTCTTTAAAGTTGTCTTTTTTTACTTTTCTTCCTTAATAGTGTTCCTGAAACCTATACTGTGGCTGTTTTGAAGGATGTACCAATCTAGGGTCAACTTAAGGCAACTGTCAAAGGAAGAGTTAGGATGCTGTAAGAGAACACACCAGCCAGCCTCCTTTAGCTACATGCCATTATCCTAGATAAATTGCATATTGTGGCTTTTTTTCTAGAACTTTTTGATATGAACTTGTCTGCTTGCTCATACTAAAAACTGTTGTATAACTACCGCAGCACTCTTTATGTTTTTTCCTTTGAGGTGCTGAGGCCCTTCTTCATTTGAATGTGAATGATCTTTAAGCTCTCTGAACTTTACATATATAGTTATAAAAAATGGGCCAAATTCATTTTTCATGTAAGCCCACTGGTGCCAAGGGACAAGTTTGCTTCACAGTGTTATTTTGTGGTAGAAGAGCAGATTTATAATATTGCTTATACGTTTGAGTGATCTGAGGCCAAAAAAAAAATCTCATTTTCAGGAGCTGTGGACTGAAACGCGTGAATGTTAATCTACCAATGGCAATATCCACCACTAGAATGCTGTACCATTTCAACATTCAGCTCTCAGGCAAAAAGGATTGTTCAGTTCTCCTGTAAACATTTAATAAGAATTATAGGAACTAGTTCTAGAAATACAATCAGCCTAAAACTTGCTCTCAGGTTATATGTTGGTTCATTTTAGTTCACAAACATAGTAGCTCACATCTCACTCTCTTACCGCACATTTCTGCTCTCCTCCACCCATCCCCCATTATATAAACCAAAGGAAACCTATGAGTCCAGGCAATAAAAGGATGCCCTTACATTCACTAAGCCATTTATTAGGATCCAGCATCAGGTACTGTTTTGTCACCTCCAGTTCTCTCATTAACCATTCGTACTTGGCCTTGACCTCAGCAATTCTCTGCTGGCGATGCTCCAGGATTTTCAGCTTGGCATTAAAACATATCACCTCCTGCCAAACAGGATAAAGAAGCAAGGAAGGAATAGATGAAGAGGAGAAGAAATATTCAGATCCATTCAGTGAAATGATCTTCCAATCAATAATACTGACAATGAGCCATTTATTCTGGAAGCATATGAATCACTGCATGAAATCCATTATCTTTTTTATTTTTATTGCTTTTGTTTGGTTTTGATGTTTTCCATCAGTGAGCTTTGGAGACTTTGCAATGGTAGTTAATAATAAACCATAATAATTAATAACAGGCAGCATCTTGAAATTAGATTAACTGCGGTAAAACATTTCTGCTTTTTGTCACCAGAGTTTGGCTAAAAAATCCTAAGCTTTTGGGAGAAGAAAATTCATTGCTTGCTTTATTAAAAGCCTAAATACACCCTTGTGCTTGGCACATAAGAAATGCAGTAGTCATATTTTAAAATAGAAAACTGGTAGCAATATCAAATTTAAAATATCCTTAAACAAAGGCAGTGTGTTATGAAAAGCTCTAGTAATCCACAATCATTAATAAAGATGATATATTTTCTGTAAAGATATGGAGCACAGTGACAGCACAGGGTGCAGTGCTGTCTGTGGACAAGAAGCCTGGCCTCATGTGACTTCTGAGAGGTGGCAACCATCAAGACGTGCAGCAAGTGACTCCACAGTGAGGGCTGTGCTACCCTTGCCAGTCTGGAAGCAATTCCAGTAATACAACTATCCTCCTTCAGGCCTGTGTGAAGGTCTCAACACTATTCCACTTTTTTCTCTATTAACAAATCTGCTGTGTGGGTGAAGTGCAGTGGAAAACTCACCACAGAAAGTTTCTCCAAACAAAACCATGTCTGAGAACAACATCACGAACTGCCTAAACAGGTGATAAGAGGTAGGAAGGAAAAGTGCCTTAAAATAATAATAAAGCCTGTATCCATAGTTACTCTAAAATACTCAACTTCAGATACTCCTTCCAATCTTCCATATCAAGAGCTGACCCTTACAATTTACACACTCCAGGAGATCACACAGATTGCACTCACCTTGCTGTCCCCACCTCGCCGTCGCTGGAGCCTCTGCACATCATCTATCTCATAGACTTTGATCTCAAAGGGCTCCCCCAGGCCCCTCTGCCCACTTCGCAGTGGCCCATCCACCCAGCGGACCCCGGGGCTGTTGGCAGGCTTCCTTGCTGGGGAAGTGGTATCCAGTGATAAAGCCGGAATTAGCCTCCGTCTCTGTGAACCTGCAAATGCAGAAAGTGCCACAGCATGTTAGCAGAGTTACTGCCTCTCCTTTCTGCCCCATCTGCAGAGAAATCTACAAATTATATATATTTGGCCTTTTTGCGCACAGAAGAAAATGGACAGAAAACCCAGGGAAGCCATGGGAGCTGTAGCTGCAATGTGCTGTACCCACTCCCCATGAGTCAGATCCTCATGTATTCTTTGGTGTCTGACTCCAGGATTTGATATTCAGAGGGCATAAGTACCCTAAAGTTTACAGAGCCTGTGTCTGCTCCCCTTTGCTTAGGTCTCGGTGTGTACAGGTGTGCCAACGAAGGATCAAAGCAGCAGGCTGGAACAGCTTTGTTTTCCTATCTCTTTACTGGTACTGACTCTTACAGCTGAAGGACAAGCATTAGCCAGCCTCTGCAAAGACCACCTCCAGGAGAGGTGTGGGTTTAGGGTTTTTTTTAATCACAGCACGAAAAGCACTGTGATACCCAAGCTCTTTCACTATCCTGGAGTTGAGTGCCAGAACACCACCATCTAGTTCTTTGCATAATAACACTGTAGGCTGACTAAAGCAGCAAAGCCAGTAGAGAGGACAAAAATGCTTGTAGTAAGTACATCCAAGCTTGGTGGTTGCCACCAGACTCACATTAGCCTTGTCTCCATTCAGTAGAATATTCTTCCAAAACATTTCCCATTTACACACTTTCTGTGGCACTGATGATGGGCCAGACAGAAGCAAGAACAGGTTGGCAGGCAGGTTAGTCACTGTGCCTGCTTCAATACTAGTGCTCGTGCACGCCCATCCTGCTTTATAATACCAGTGCAGTGGATGAGAGCACTGAAAAAGGCATCTGCCATGTGAGTTGCCAAGTCAGGGCCTAAGGTAAAGCAAGGAAGAAAATGTACGTCACTGGCCTAATGGCAGGGGTAAGAAAGCTGAGCATGAGGTTTGTTGGAAGAAAGCCCAAACAGACACACAAAAAAGAAAAACAACTGGTTGCATTTCCTCGCTTGGTTTAGCACAATCAGAGCAATGGATGGGTTTGCAAAAAAAAAAAAAATTTGCAGCTGACAACTCCTGCAACGTCTCCCCTAGGAGGCAGCTAGAATAGAAGGGATGGGAGAAGCCAAAAACAAAAGCTGGAGCCAGTAAGTTTGAATGAAACTATTAACTGACTCTCTTGGCTGCAAGAATAAAAGTGATGCTAGCAGGGAAGAGATGCAGAATAATTATGCAGATTTTATTTAAAAAACAAGATTAAACCGTTTATAGGAATATCCCACATTATATTTATTGAGACTTGAATGCAAATAGTTTCAACATGTCTGTCAACTTGGTGCTTCAATGAAAGCCAAAAAAAAAAAAGAACACCAAACAAAACCCACCCAAAACAAAAACCTCCAAATATCTATTGATTACCTAGTTTTCAAATTTGCCAGTAACAAACCATTGTCGAGTTTCATTCATTGTAGTCTGTTTCTCTGCTGATTTTGTGAACTATCACATCTTATCCCATGATTTCTGAGTGCAGTAGTCTGTGCTAGAAACCAGCAGTTAAAGACCGGTAATTAACCTGTAAATGTTAGCTCTAAAATAGATGAGAATGGTCTATCTTGCTATCTGTAAAGCGTAGTCTACAGAGCTTTTAGTTGAATTCATCTGAGATAATTGGATGCAAGAAAAGAAGAGTACAGCCAAAGCTGATGGACAGAGAGCTCTGTGTAGTCAGGGAGCTCTACAAGGCTGTTTTATAACAAATAGCCTGAGATCTGGACTGCCCATCCTGTGACACCTATAATAGTTGTATTTACTACTCAAACTGCAGCCCAGCAAAAAAGTTCATGCCAGAACAAATGAAGCCTTACAAATACTAGCAAGTAGGAGTTATTTTAGATCTGTAGTACCAGTCACTGGAAGACAATGTCAGTATTCACTTACCTTAAATACATTTTAGTTAATCTCTAGATTAAACTGCCTGATCAAGAGAAGAGTCAGATCTTGATAAAAGGAAAAGCAAGACTGACCCATTACCACAGATAAAAACTGAAAACAATGAGAGAAATACAGTTTGGGAAGACCTCAACAAACTGTAACGCTAAGGGTGACTCTTGTCAGCAATGCTAGAGAAAGGTAACCAAATGGTGGGAGCAGCTGCATACTTGAAGGGAAGTGAGACTATTAAATTTCGTTACATGCAGGAACAGATCCTGCAACAGGCTCAGGCCCTCCCGGGAAACAAACCCTCCGCTTGCTTAGATGGGAAGGGCACTGAGTATAGTCCTACTGTCACTCAAGAGCAAAATGAATTCAGGCATTAAATACATTTTAAAATATTTTTTAGGGTTTTGGTGTCCCACAGGAGCAGTCTTTCAAATTTTGTCTGCGTGTAAAAGCAATCTCTTTGCTGTTTCTCAACTTTTAGACTCGGCAATATCTACAAGCATCAGATCTGACGTCCTGTTTAATGCACTGAATGTTGTTAATTCTTTTTATTTTCTGTTCCACATTGGTGGTCACACTCCTCTCTTGATATGCCTACAGACTAGCTCTAGCATTTCCAGGAAGCAGCTGAGCAGACTGGAAATTCCTTCTGCCCAGCTTTCCACGCATGGCTGAATTATGACTAAGGTAGTGCCTTTTTCTGTGATGTTTGATTTTCTTCCTCTTTTCCTCACTGTGGCTGTTAACATCACCTGCTTGTGCAATGAGGCACTTTCAAACCACCCCACTGGAAAAACTACATCTCTGCCCAGAGACAAAGCACAGGTCTGAGACTCTCTGGGAATGCAGGTGGATGGCTCCAATGCACCTTGCCATGACAACAGCATCATGCTCCTACTTGGAGCAAAGCAAAACAGATGTCACTGGGGTATGAAGTACAGGGATGATGGTAAATATTTTCACATTTAATTCTCATCCATATATGTTTGACTCAATGAGAAACAGAAGCCTGGGGTCTAGAAGGAGGGTTCCAATCTGAGGCCTTGTTTAACAGCACTTGTTTATCCCTTGGTGGAGAGGCAGAGAGGACTACAGTATGGCAGGAGACATTAACTCATTATATTTTTCTGGTCAGAGCTCATGCCTGGATTGCCCATGGGTTATTACAACAAAACAGCTGCTGGCTCTTGGTGCACTGAGGCAGTGCAACAGGGTAGAGCCACCACAGGCTACCCAACTCCCCACTGTCTGCCCAGGGACTCCTTTGGGACACAGGTCTCCAAGTGGGTACAACTGTGTGAGATGCAGAGAGGAAAGAGAAAGAGAGATGTCTTTTTATCTGAGCCTTGAATGCTGACTCAGGATGATTTATCTGAGGTTTAGAGTGCTTTGAGGGGAAATTAAATGAAAGATCTTCTTCATCTTTCCAGTAAGGCAAAACCAGATCCAGTTTGTTCTAAACATGCACTAATTAATAGGCTTTTTATTAGCCCAGGTACAGAAAATAACAGTGTCTTTTGACAAGAGACTCCTGCCACTGACATCTCCATTTAGCCTCTGTTTTTTTTTCTGATGGTACCTTAATTGGGATCAGTAAGGAGATACAGCCAAAGCAGAGTTTCAGGATGAGTGTCACAAAGCAGCTGACAGCTTGTTCATCCGTAACAACACACAGACACAACAATTAAATTGTTAAAATTAATACAGTTTTCCCTTTATATAGAAAATATCCATTTGAAGTTCCAAATTTATTGGGAGCACTTGATGGAGCTATGATCTCATCAATTTTGACTGTATAATGAATAAAAGGCTTTGTAGAAATTGTATCACACTGCTCCCTGGACAGCCAGGGAGCTCAACAGGAGCAGCTCTCAGTATGTCCCTCCCACCTCTGCCCCACCTCTGCCCCACCTCTGCCCCTCAGCAAACTGGCTGACCCTCCTGCCATGTAAATGGGATTAATTTCTCCATTCAAAAAAGAAATTTATACCAAAAATCAATCTTAAATAAATCCAGTAAGATGAACCAAGGGCAGAATAACCACATGTTCATTTATGACCATGCAGCATGTAAAGCAACATGTAATTTGCTAAATGTCTTGAAGGATATGTTTTTCACTTAGTTTGAATTTATCCACACTCCTGAGCCTATCTGGAGTGTGAATAGCCCTCAAAATGTGCAGGATACAAGATTCGCTTTTGCAATAGATCTGTTGCTCTACCTTGAGCTATAGGTTAAGGTTTGGCCAGGTTACATTTAAGGTACAGAGACTAGCAGAGCAGTGGAGGTGTGTGGTGTGAAAGCAGATCTGACTGAAGAGTGGCACTTAAGGAATATGCTTCAGAAAAGATGAGCTCAGAGAAAACTTAAAGTATGAGAAATACAGACCAAGGGTAACTGTAAGGATAAGAAGACACACTGACCTCAGCAAAATTGCCAACATGCATAAGGATGTGTGCTCAAAAAAGTATGTGTTGACCAGGGTAGAAGCTTTAAAAAGTCTGGTTTTGCTTAAGTACTGTATATTTTAAAGTGTTTCCCTTAGATTGCTTTCCAAGCACACACTCCACACTGAGCATCTTCTCTGTGAAACAGGTTAAGGCAAAAACTGCAAATGCAAAATTTTAATGAAAAGCAGTGTGATGTATATCTCTTCAAAGCAGGATACATCTGAATGGGATTCAAAACAATGGTTGTCCTAGAAATTTCAAGTTGTTTCAAACAGAAAATGAAACTGTAACTTGATATAACATCGTTTCAGAAGTTTATAGTGTGTGCTCAAAGGCAGGATGTGCAGCCAAAGCTATTCCCCGCAGCACTTAATGTTATGGGATGTAAAATTGCCTTTCTGTACAGAACTTGCTCTTCAGCATTTTGTTTTTTTCTCACCAGACAGTCCAAGGCAATTACTAAAACCAGTCCTGGCTAACCAGAGAAGTACCCCTAAGCTCCCACCATTCCTTGTGTAGCTTAATTTCCAAGAAATATTGTGCCTCCAATAGCAATAGCATCAATGTCAATTGTAGTATCAAATTGTTTGTTTACCAGTAAAGATTATCTGTCCTG